GGTGGAGACGCGCCCCAACCCGAGGTGGCTTTGGAGCGTGTGTCCGTCTCGTCTGTGGACGCGGGAAGTCTCGGGTCCGCAGGAGAGCGACTTGGTTTTCTCGCCTCGCACCTCTGTCCTCTGTTAAAGAAGTTGGAGGCTTGGTGTCTTTTCCGGTCGGAGGTGCTGTTCCTAGGTGACTTGTGCGAGAGCGTTTCAAACTTACTTTCCCCGGCCCCCCACCCCCGCCGCCCGGAAGCTCCTTTTTTGTGATGGAAAAATTCCACCGTACATGTGAGACTTTGACTTGAAAGGGAGAAACTATTTGTCTTAGAATGTGGTCGATTGCCCTGAAGAGTGTCTAACTGGGACCTCGCCGAGTGCCAAAACCCCACGTTAATTATCTTAGGAGCCGCAAGGAGAGAAGTTAAATGCTTCTGCCGCCTGAGAGAGGTCTGTAGAGATTAACCAACTTGCTGCAGGCGGTGTTCCGCAGTCCCGGCGTCCACCTTAAGCAGAGCTCCGGTGGGGAGCAGCTCTGGGGGGCTTATCCAGGCGTCGCTTATTAATTTTTCCTCGTCTCTTCTAGGTGATCTTCCTTCATGGACTGGGAGATACAGGGTAGGTACCGTTGTTAGCGCCAGTAATGAAACGGGGCCATGCAGCTCTTCCCCTCCACGGTCAGAGGTTTACCGTTTAGGAGCTCCAGGACTGTGTTGTGAAAAAGGGTTACTAGTAGTATTTCTTACAGTCCAGTAATGAGGTAGAATCCTTTCTTTCTTGAAGACCCCCAGAATTTTCCCCTCATCATCTTGACTTGTCATTTTTCTACTCCTGTTTCTGGAACATATTAAAATTGCAAACTCCTCCGCGAGTTGCTGTGGCTTTTGGATACCGGAGATGAGAGGTATGTTTGTAGCAAGTGCAATTGAGAGCTTTCCAGAAGAGGTACAGTTTCATGGCAGGTTGAGGGGAACTGGTTGATTTTGATAAGAGAAATAAGAGCTGTGTGGGGTCTTGAACGAGAGCTGGAAGGTTCCGAAAAAAGGAAAAACCAGTTGAAGGGCAGGGGACGCAGCTCAGATTTCTTGGGAGGTTTTGGAACACATTTGGTTGTGCTAACTTTGGATAGATGACTTAGCTTTCATTCAGGCTTTTTCTATATGGAGAGGTTTTTAAAATTTAAATCAGTGATGATCTGTTTGAAACTTAAGTAAAATTGTTACAAAATTGCAGAATTGGAGGAAAAGTGAAGATAAGTAAATTTTGAAAAAAGAGCCAAGAAACTGTTAAACCTTTATAAGGAGGCGCTGGGCTAGATTAATTAATAAAAGTCATTCCCAGTATTCCTTTATGGCTGCCAAGCAGAGGTGCCTGACACATGCCTTGCATGGAGTTCTGGGAAAGCTTATAGGACTCTTTCTGGACTATCAGGGAGTCCTAGGAAAAAGAGAGACTTATTTTACTATTTATTTACTTATTTCAGTGAACAGAGGTTTTAGAGAAGCTCTGTTTTATCACCAAACCCCTCCTGATGCTGAGAGCCAGGCAAAATCTTGCTACCCTGTAACTTTCCTAATAAAGTGAAAGTCCAGGTCTGAAGAATCGGTCCAAGAGAGAAACAGTTCAGTTGTAGGAAGGTTCTCAATGGACCCCAATTTAGCCAGATTCCTTAGACTGAAATTAAGAATGGAAATGATGAAGGAAACGAGCAACGTGAGATTCAAAATACCAAGAGCAGCCGTGCCATCTTGGCTGAGAAGTACGTGTGTGTAAGAAATGAAAGTTGTCCAGTTCTGAAAATACTCTGTGAGTGAGCACTAAGGAGAGCTGGTGCCAGCTTGGTTCCGTGAATACACGACAAAATTCAGAGCCAACCAGTCTGACAAGGGGCAGTTTTATGTTTAAAATATTTTTTGGAGAACTAGTTAAACTTCTTTTGTCTGGTTAACTTGGGGGATGTTGGGAATTAAGGGATTCAGTTTGTTACTTATAAAAATGGGCAGCTTTTGCCGTTTTTGTTGTTGTCGTTAAGATTCTTCTTGGCAGAACCAGCCAAGATGTGCTGTCTGGTGACTTGGGTCTTGCAGTCTTAGATTCCTCATGAAAATTGTTTGGCAGCCAAGTAAGATTGGGAGACCCTGTGTAGTTTTGTATTTTCTGAATTCTGATATGTCATTCTCACCACATTTTTATGCTTCTGAGATTGATAGTCATCTTATCTGTGTGTGTATTGTGATTTTTTTTAATAGAAAGCTTTTCTTCAGTGATGCCTCTTAGATTGTCATGTCCTCCTCTTGAGAGTTTGCAGTGTGTACAGTAGCACGTTTAAAGCTCTGAAAAGTTCTGCAAGAAACACATCTGACCATCAAAGTGGTCCTGTGCATGATGTGTATAATAAACTGTGAGACATACTCAAGGAAATACATTTTAGACCAAACTCTGTTGCATGAGATCAACTTTCCTTCCCAAAAAAAATAGCTTTTGTTGTGATTATGAAAATGTTCCATTTGTATTGTAAAACAATTTCAAATGCACATATGCTTGAAAAGAGAATGAAAATCAGTTGAAATCCTACAACCCAGAGATCCATGTTTATTTTTGATAGCATTTTAAAAATGTTTTATTTTGAAGTGCTTTCAAATTTGTAGAAGAATTACAGGAATAAAACAGATTCCTCACTACCTTTTACTCAGATTCCCTAAACTCGATTGAATACGTTACTGTGTTTACCAAAACCTCCAAGAGTAAATACGATTCTTTATTCCAAACTTTAGCCTGTCCCTCCGAAGAACAAGGAGAGACCCTTATATAACCACAAAAAATGATCCAATTCAGGAAATTTAGCACTTATTTAATATCATTATCTGATAGATGGTTACCTAACAGACTCCGGCCGTTGCCCCGGTAACGTCCTTTGTTGTAACCCTCTCTGCCGGCGGGCAGCCGGCCCGGGGCTCTGAGCTGCTCAGCTCTCTAGTCTCTTAATCTGGAACCGTCCCTCAGCTCTGTGGTGGCGTGCGTGACGTTGGCATTTCTGCAGAGAGCAGGCTGGTCCTTCCATTGAGGTTTGCTTGACATTTCCTCGTGGCGAGGTTCAGTTTTTGCATTTTTGGTACAAATACGACGTAGGTTTCACGCCCTGCTCATTGCATCGCCTCAGGAGACAGGCAGTGCCTTCTGTCCCATGGCTGACACTGACCTGGATCGCCTGATGAAGGTGGTCTCTTCCTGCCAGGCCCCTCCGCTGCTGCTGTTTACCCTGTGTACTGAGAGCAGCACGTGGGGAGATACTTTGAGACCATGCAGATTGTACGTCAGACTTTCACCCAGTGTTTTCAGTATCTGTTGATGATCCTTGCTGGCATGGCTGTGACGGTGATGTGATTTTCTGACCCTGTCACTCCCTTTATTAGTTTGCCCCTCCGCATTTATGCAGTGTGGACTCATAGGTCTCCCTTATTGGGTCATTTTTAACTTCAAATTTACAGGAAAGTTACAGAAGTAGTATTTAGAAGTCCTTCTGCCCTTCACTTAGATTACCCAATCGTTAACATTTCTTACCGATTTGAGAACAAGTTGCAGGCATACTGCCTCATTACTCCATAAAGCTTCAGTGTGTATTTTGTCAGTGCAAGGACGCTGCCTCATGACCACGGTGTAGCCATCAGTCAGAAGTTGACGTTACTCTGGTGCTACCATCACCTCCGCCAACCCCATTCATGTTTCCATGATTTGACCCACTAATGTCCTTTGTGGGTTCAGGATCACAAGTTAGTTCGTTGGATTGAGTTCACCCATCTCTCGAGTCTCCTTCAGTCTGGAGCAGTCCATTTTCTTGTCTTCCTTGACCTTGACACTTTCCCCACGCAGGCCAGTTACTGGATAAAGTGACGTCTCCCTTTTGGCAGGAGCGCCACAGAGGTGCTGCTGCTGTGCAGGTCTCAGGCCCACCCAGGTTCACGTTTGTCCCTTTGGTGATGATGTTATGTTTCATCACCTGGTTAAGACAGTGTCTTAACTAACAGGTTCCTCCACAGCAAAATTAGTAAGTATAATTGCACTTTAAAAGTATTTTGTAGTGAGAGACTTTGATTTTTATGAAAACATCTGTTTTGCCTGTGGATTTAGCATCCATTAACAGTTGCTGTCTGAATCTATTATGATGGTTGCCAAATGCAGATCTTTTTAAAAATCCCTTCGGTCTAGATTCATTTGTTGGCAGTCTACAGTGTGGGTAGAACTTTCCCTTCTCCTTGGATTATTATGTATGCATGCATTCATTTTAAATCAGTGTAGACGCTTGGATTCCTGTTTCACTCTGACGGTTACAATCTGCTGTTAAATCTGTATTTATTTTGATGCTCAAATCATCCCACCCTCGGCCGGGGGGAGCCGTTTACACTGGCGCTTACACCTTTGGAACACAACCCCATCATTACTTAAGCACTTCCTTACTTTCTGGGGCAAGAAGATCTTTTCCAGGGGCCACAGTCAGCCACAGTCTGGATGACTGAAATCAACAGAAGTTTGTTCAAGAGGCTACACGTCCAAAATCGAGGTGTCTGAAGGTGCCTGCACTCCCTCCGAGGACCCTCAGAGAGGCTCCTTTGCCCTTTCCAGTTCCTGTGTGCTCCTGGGGCTCCTTGGCCTGTGACCGCCTACCTCCAGTCTCTGCCTCCCTCTTCACGTGACCTTTCCTGTTGTTTATCTGTGTTCTCTCTGCCTCTTATAAGGACACCTTACTACGTGTAGGGACCACCCTAATCCAGTGTGACCTCACCTTGATCCTTAATAAATTACACTTGCAAAGACCCTCTTTCCAATAAGGTCACATTCTGAGGTTCCCTTTAAACATGGATTTTGAGGGGTATAATTCACCATTGCACCAAGGTTTGCTCACTGCCTTTCGTGGCCTCACCGTTTCTCACAGTTTTGCTTCTTTTTGTGTATTTGACACACTTTCTTGTCACCCAGAAGTGGACCATCCTAGCTCTGACTTCGTATCTGCATCCTAGCTCTGAGTAGTCGTGTCCAGTTAAGACGCCAACTCATCTGGGTCATTTGGCTCTTGGCCAGTTAGTGAGACTGAACAGAACGTGCAGGGGAGACTCAGTAACAGCGCTGGGTCGGTGGGACGGGCACGGGACTGTGAGGTGTTCCTTGTGCACATCTGGGAAGGTTCCTTGAGTTTTTAGTTCCATGCCCTGTTACTGTGGGTAGTGAACATAATGGAAATACACTTCAGTTACTTTGTAGTCTTTTCTAAAAGAGCGCCACTGAGAAGCAGAATAGAGTGAATTTGCAGTTGTCTAGGGGTGTGCCCCCAAATTCACTTTCTGAACTCATGTAAGCCTTTGTGCGTGTCCACATTTTGTTTTCCTTTTCTGCTTTCTAATAATAAAGGGAAATATATTCTGATTAATCTAGGTTTCTGAATATAGACTATGTTTAATTGAAGCTTTGTGTAGAGTTCTTAAATTCTTGAATTCAGAGGTTTCCATTGACCTTGAAAATTGTCAAAAGGACTGAAAGCAAGTGGGCCAAGCTTTTGTATGGTATGGTTGGAGGCGAAGATTTTATAACCTGTGGGGACCTTTGAAATCATCCAGGACAAGCAGCTCAGGCTGTGGATGGGGAGACGGAGGGCTGGACAGGCAATGATCCTCACCCTTTAGCATAAACGTCTCCTGCGAGGCTCGATGGTGATGGTGGCCCCACCACCAGAGTTTCTGGTTCAGTAGCTGTGGGGTGGGGCCCAGGGATCTGCATCGCTAACAAGTTGCTGGGTGGTACCACACTTGTGCAAACCACTGGAGTGAGTTAGGCCACCCTTCTAGAGACAGACAGAGTTGGGACTAGAACCCAAGATTCCTACTCCTTTTACTTACGTAAATGTTCTCGGTTTCTCATGTAAAACAGAGATTGGCAAACAATGGGCCACAGTTCAGTTCTTTCACTTTCTGAGAAACTAATTTTGTTTTTGTTAATGTTATTTATTGATGTATAATTTCCTGTAATTCATACCATGAAAGTCATACTTGGAAAGTGTACAATTCAGTAGTTTTTAGGATATTTGTAAATTTGTGTGACCATTACTGCTGTCTTAATTCCCGAATATTTTCAGCATCCCAGAGAGAAACGCCCATTAGCAGATGGCCTTCATGCCCTCTGGCAACCGGCAGTTTCCTTCTGGTTTCTATGGATTAGCCTATTCTGGGTATTTCATACCTAATATAGTGGAATCAGACGATATGTGATCTTTTGTGTCTGAGTTCCTTCACCTAGCATAATGTTTTTTTCTGGTTCATCCATGTTGTAATGTGTATCGGTACTTTATTCCCAAATAATGTTCCATTGTATGGATAAAGACCACATTTTAAGGATTCATTCATCAGTTGATAAACATTTGGATTGTTTCCACTTTTTGGCTATTATGAATAATGCTACTTTGAACATTTGTGCAAGATTTTACATGGACATAGCTTTTTAGTTCTGTTGCTTAATTGCTGAGTCACTGGTTTATGTTTAACTCTTTGAGGACCTCCTAGACTTGTCCGGAGTGGCTGCACTATTTTGCGCTTGTACCAGCAGTGCTTGAGGGTTCTAATTTTTTCACATTCTCACCAGTATTTGTTATTATCTTTTTATTATAGCTATTTTTAGGGTATTCTATGTATAAGATCATAAAATCTGTAAACAGAAGTAATTTTACTTGGCTTTCCAATTCCTTTTATTTCTTTTTCTTGCCCAGTTGCTCTGGCTAGAACTTCCAGTACCGTGTTAAATAGAAGTGGTGAAAGCGTGTGTCGTATTTTGAATTACTTTTGTATATGGTGTGAGGTAGGAGTCTAACTTCCTCCTGTTTAATGTGGATTTCCACTTACTCCAGTTGCTTTTATTGAAAAGACTATTTCTTCCCCATTGATTTGTCTTGGCACCCTTTTCAGAAGTAAGTTGACCGTAAATGTGAGGGTTTATTTCTGTATTCTCAGACCTATTCTATTGATTTGTATGTCTTTTCTTATTACAGTACCACAGTCTTGATTACTGTTGCTTTGGGATAACTTTTGAAATTAGGAAATGTGAGTCCTTTAACAATATTTTTTTTTCAAGATTGTTTTGGCTATTCTGGGTCTCGTGAGTGTCCAAATGAATTTCAGAATGAGCTTGTCAGTTTCTGCAGAGCCAGCTGTGGTTCTGATCAAGGTTGCATTGACTCTGTAGATCCTCTTGGGGACCACTGCTGTCTTGAGAATAGTAAGTCTTCCAGAACACGGGTGTCCGTTATTATACGTCTTCTTTAATTTCTTTCAACATGTGTTGTAGTTTTCACGGTGAAGTCTCACATGCACACACAGCACACACACAAGACACACACAGGAACTCACATGGAAACACACATACACGTACACACACACATAGCCAACTTCTAGACCAGTGCCTGCTCAGTGTCAGTGTTATGTAAGTGATAATGCTAATACTGTCGTCATTAATTTTTCTCTAAGTCCTTAACACTTTTGGAGAAGGTAGATTAAAATAGAGAAGTAGTTAACAGAAAAGCATTTAGTATTTGTTTCTAGACTATTTTGTATATATAAAATGGCTTAAGTTCTATTTTATCCTTGGTAGAGGTGACATAAAAGTGTCAGGTGTAGCGTCAACTGTAAACAAGCAGGGAGCTGCGTGTACATATAGTATGATCTCTTTTTTGTAAAATCAGTGTCCATTTTTCAACTGCATGGGAAAAAATGGAAGGAAATACATAAAAAGATTAACTATTTCTGGCTAGAAGGATTGTGATGATTTACATTTTTTAGTTTTCCTCTATCTGTTTTGAGTAGATGTATGTTCACGTGCGCACAAGGAGATGACGTTCAGGTTGTTGCTGTTAATGTCGGAAGCATGTACAGCCATCAGGCAGCTGATGGACTTTACTCCTTGAGGCTCTTTTTCTTTGTATAAAATGTGAATTTTATCATCTATATTGCCTGCTTTGTAAGCAACATTGTTGTGAGGTTATAAAGTGATAAAAAAAACACATTTTGAAAGTTACAAAGCCCAGTGGAGACACGTGAAAGGAAAAGCACTGTTCCTCAAACCATGAGAGGTCACCTTTATCCACAAGTGGAGCGTAAATGATAAACTGCGTTGTTTCTAGGTCGGTAGTGGTGTTTTAAGGAGTTAAAATTTACCCTCAGAGATTTACTGTTCTGTTACTAACTTACTGGAATTTAAAACAGTATCTAATGGCATTATTCAAATTATTTCTCTACCAGGCACGGGTGGGCGGAGGCCTTTGCAGATATCAGAAGTGCCCACATCAAGTATATCTGCCCACATGCGTAAGTGTTGTTAATTTTCAGGTTTGGGATTCAGAACCTGATGAGACAACTGTGATCACTTTACTTTTCCAGAAAAGTATTTGAATATAATTGATTTTTATCTTTTAAATGTTCAGCTTAAAAATAAAGATCAGTAAATTCTTTAAAACAGAATGATATCTTGGTTATGTTGAATTTTTTCTTTTCTTTTCTTTTTCGTTAAGAAATTTAAAATAATCCTCTCTTGGAGATCAGTTGAACTCACAGCCAAAAAATTCTTTTAGATACACAAACATCTGTGAAGTGCTAAGGATGTCTGTGAGCTGTCTCTGAAGGGGTTTGCCTGTCAGGTGTGTGAGAAATCTTTACTGCCTTGAAAACAGTCCTGAAGTTACCGGTTAGAAGCAGTGTGACGCCCCGTGGAGAGACCACAGACTTTGCAGTCGGTTACATTTGGTTTCGAATTCTGAGAATGCTTGTGGGTGTTAAAAAGCAACGAGTAAGTTTTGAGCAAACTCAGAAAACTGGTAAGATTAGCAAGTCTTAGGTCAGAGGGTCCCGAGAAGCAGTGGCCTGGAGAAGACAAATAGGATTAGACGCCAACAGTTCGTATTTCATCCTCAGAGGTGTTAGTGGCAGTAGGGCTGATAAATATAAAAGAGGATGAGCAACAGGGACCGACTGTGCAGCACAGGGACTTATATTCAGTTCTTGCAATGAGCTGTAATGGAAAAGAATCTGAAAAAATATACGTACAAGTGCTATATGTATAACTGAATCGCTTTGCAATTGAAACTAACATTGTAAATCAACTACACTTCAATAAAAAATTAGAATTAAAATGTGAAAGAGGAAAAACATCTGAGATTAGGTAAGAAAACACTCCGTCCTCTGTTCCCTGGAGTAGATGGTTTTCCCACTGTTGCCGGCCAGCAGCTGGGTACCTCTGTTAGTCCGACCCCTGCAGGAGATGGAATTCTTGATTGTGTTGGGATTTCTGCTGTATTGTTATTGGCCCCAAGATTGAATTCGGTTTAAGGCCATTTCCCAACCTAGGGAAGTTTATGTTCTCAAGGAAATTTTAGTAGGATTTTGAGGTCTCTGAGGTAGGCTTGTTTCATGAGTCGAGAGGGTGGTGGTGAGCTGTAGTTGTGGGGTGTGTGTTTTCCTTTGCTTTGTCCCTGTCTACCCTCAGGTTTTCCAGCAAATTTTTCATCATAGCCTTGAGTCGGGTAAAATGGACACTTAGGCAAAACTTACATTTCCCTTATTTATTTAGAGGTCTCTCAAATAAGCAAGGTGCACAGCTAAGAACTAGAAAATAAACAAAGATGTAATTTGAGCCTGCGGGGATGGATGCCACGGTCTCTGTGCAGTGAACTGCTCATTCCTCAGTGCCTCAGCCAGAGGCTCATATTTTATATGTTTCCAACTGTCTTGGTTACTGGTTTTCCTTCTCGTGTCTGGTTTGAAATTATGAATTGAAGGTGTTGAAGAAGAAAGATATTTTCATTTGCCAGACTTAGTCCTTCCTGGCTGCTGCTCGGTCCTGAGAACACACTTGGGGGGGCGGTTTGGAGAACAGAGCTGTAAGGTGTGGATGCTGCAGAGTCGCTGATACGTTAACGCTTGCAGCACGCGGTTCTGGGTGAGCCTCGAGTAGTGATCCATCTTTAATTGCTGGAATTTATCAGGTTTTGTGCTTCATTATATTATTCTTATTCTTATTCTGCTTTTGTTCCTTTCCCGTGTAGGCCAGTTATGCCTGTAACATTAAATATGAACATGGCCATGCCTTCTTGGTGAGTAAGACTCTGCTTATCCAGTAAGAACTTTTTATTTATACTTAGTTGTTTTTCTTTCATCAGAAGTGAGTTTGCAGACAGCAGTTTTTAATGAACTATTTTTAAGTTGCAAAGATTCACAATTAACTTTAAATTTAACCTTTCACTGTTTCTCTATAACTAGTTTTCGAACTTTAGATTCAGGGGTAAACTTATGGAGCTGCACCAGCAGGGAGAGGAGCGGGAGACAAGGGGCGACTAGAAGCACGCGGGGAGTCTCTCGTTCTGCTCCATACACCTTTGCTGATTTCAGTGACCAGACGCCTGCACGAGCCCACGTGGCCTCCACTCTGATGAAGGCACGGCCTCTTCACCCTTCCAACGTCTTGCCTTTCTGGGGAGCTGGCGAGTTTTTAAGGAAACCATTTTCTGTTCAGCCCTCTCAAGACGTTTCAGGATAGAAGACCTCCCCGTGCGCTTCACCATCTGGAAGGAGTGTCAGTTCTTTGTTCTCTGGGCCACTTCCAGGCCTTGATTTCTTCCTGCTGCCCTCTGGACTCCTGCCAGCAGGTCTTTTCACACCTCCCTCCCCTCCAGCCCCGCAGCCCTCCTGCCTTTCAGGTAGTTGCGGACCCAGGGTGAGCAGCCTGTCCACAGCCTCGGCCAGCGGGTGGCTTCCTTGACTCTCCTCTTCTCGGTGACGTCATCCTTGGCGTAGGCCACCTGGAGCAGCCCTGTCTCTGAAGTCCCTTCATTGAGACCTGACTGAGCTTGCATGCCCATCTCCACACCACTGTCGAGACCCCATCAGGACTTCCAGCCTGTTGCCATCTTGTCCTCGGCTTGCTCCCTCCCATCCCTAACCCACCCCTGCACCGCCTTTTTTAATGTACTTTCAATTCCTTGGTAACTTTTACAGGTTCCTACCTGCCTCGGCCTGTGGTTCTTTCATCTTCCCTCTCCCCATCCAGAACCAAACTTTCTACCTGATGTCGCTTGAGACCGTAGTGGAAGCACGTAGCCGGGGCCAGAGGAAGGCCGCCCGGTCTCTGGCTGGAGGTCGCCGCTGTGCAACAGGAAGGTTTTGCAGAGTGCGGCTGGACAGCAGCATAACCACCTGTGCTGAGTGGGATGGGCCCCGCCTGCGGGTGACGTGGCGCCGTAGGTCTGCTCAGTGGGCCGCCTCGGGACGCAGTGCAAGGAGATGAGCCGCTGGCGTTCGCTGCGGACTTCTTAGGCTGTGCTTTGAGATTCCTGTGTGGCTGTCAGATTGGGCTAGGCAATTCTTCAGATGGCTGATAGAATCTGTATGTAGTCGGGTGAAAGGAACTTACGGAATGTCAGATTCGTGCGTTTAAGCTGACTGTTTGGCCTACAAAGACAGTTTAATTTGAATTTAATGTTCTGGAGAATATCCTTGGTTTGCTTTTTTCTGCAGAACTACCGCGAGTTTAGTGACACACTCCTACCAAGAGTAGGTATTCTTGGAATCGAATGATTCTTTTAGGATTTTGTCTTATTTTCCAGGTTTGACATCATTGGGCTTTCACCAGACTCGCAGGAGGATGAGCCTGGAATTAAACAGGCAGCAGAAAATGGTAAGTAAGAGGAGCTTCATAGCGGAGTCTGTAGTTGTGCTGCTGTGCATGAAACACTGAGTGGCTACCTTGGCAGCGCTGCTCCCTCCCTCCCTTCCTGACCGCGCTCTGCCATGCTTGACTCCTTTGTTGTCCATGAAGACGAGGTGGACAGGGAGGAGAGGCGTTTATCGACCTCCAGCTGTGTCAGACCCGTTGCTTTGCTTTGACTGACGCAGGCAAGTGGGGAAGATCGTAGCATGTCTGAGAGTCGTGGCCAGTCACCGTCCTGAGGGGGATGTGAGATAAGGATGAAAATAATGACATGACGATGTAGTGACATACACTGACAGTTACACTGGTGGTTGATTTCAGTGTGGTGCCCGCGTGCACCCTGCTGGCACCGGGCCGTGCTCCCAGACCGTCTCGGGTAACCCTGCCCTGGTAACAAGTGTCAGCTCCCGTGTGCAGACTCTCCGCTCATGCTCTCCCTCGTGAACATGGCGACTCCTCTTATATTTTGGGTGAAAGTGTAAAGAACACTGACTTATTGGGAGAAGCCTGGTTTCAGCACACTCACAGAAGCTCGTATTTCCTTTGCACACACGTGTGTGCTGAAATACCGATGTGGAGACAGCGTGATGGCCAGGGTGGCCTGCAGCGTAACCTGGGAGGTGACGAGGTGGCCTGACGCTGACGGGACCAGCCCGGCTGGGAGTTGACCACGGCAGAAGCGAGGTGGCATGTACCCGGGCAGGCATTGCATGCTCTTTCTGTTTTCACATTTGTTTGAAGTTTCCCAAAATTGTTTAAAAACCAAAAGCCAGTAGGATCCTTTTGAAAAATATTAAAAAAAATTTTTTTAAGAATAACTCAACTTTAAAACAGGGAAGGTGCATTCAAAACATACTGGATATTTAGGCATTTCATACCAAGAACAATGAGTTTTAGGATCATCACAAAGTAAGTCAAAGATAGATCCCTAGAGCCAGTATTCTGTCAAGAGATAAATAGGTGATAAAGTACCTGTTGGGTCTGGGGCTGAGTTGTTAGACGCTTGGAGGACGGGCGGTGGGCTTGTGGCCTGGTGGGCTGCAGAGTGAAGTTTCTTTCTCTGTAATGTATTGCTGGAGAGAATCAGGTTCAGACTCGGAGCCGGGAAGGAAAGGTGTCTCTGTCTGGGGCTGAGAGGATGTGCCGGTGGACACGGAGGGGAGGGCTGAGATTGGGTCCAGGGATGGGAATTAGGACCCATCAGGGCACGGCTGACTGCTGTCTTGGGATGTGGTCTAGCTTTGTCTAGGCAGGTGCTATAACCCGGGAGTAAAGCTGGTGAAGCAGGAGTGGTCCCCCAGCTCCCTGCTGGCAAGGCTCACGTCCCCCAGCCCCAGCCACGACCCCCTCTGCATCTTCTCCCCTTGGGGCTCGCATACCCCCCAGTAAACCCCTCGTCCGCCTCAGCAAGCCTTCCGTCTCGTAACCTCCTTTCCTGCCCTCTAGCCCGTTCTCCATGCACTCACCAGGGTGCCTCTTGCTTTTCATATTGTTCTAAGAACTAAATTATATTTAAAAAATCATTTTTAATTTGGGTATTTAGGGGTTTTGCAGTATTCTAATAGAAGCAGATTTTTGTTTTTTGATAAAAAGGAAATGTAAACTTGGAAATTTTAATCTTAAAAAGATGAAACTCTTACACATATGTCATAAATGAAAGGAGTTAAATTTGTAAAAGGTACAGATATTCCAAAAATACAGTATTATAAAGCAAAAGGAAGTCCTCCAAGTTATCAAGTAGTATATTTAATGATGAGCGTCAAAGCATTTTGCAGAAACAGAAGAACTCATTTGATTTTCCTCTCCAAATCGTTTGCTGGATATAGGGAAGATTAATACTGTGGGGTTTTTTTTTAAATAATAGAATGAACGGTTTAAACACTGTAAATCACAAACCAAGTAAACTACTTAACTGCTTGTGATTTTAAAATAACAGCTTTTAGGTATAAATGCCTATGGTTCATTGAAGGGAGAGAAATATAAAATGTGTTTGAGCAGAACTGACCATAATTAAAAGAATCCCCAACTCCACCTATTGAAGAAAGGACTGTTGTTTACAAATTATGTGACAGGAAGTAATTGAACAGTGAAAGCAACACCTGCAAAATCTGAGCTTTTGAAAATGCACCCTAATTTTGTATTTCAGTAGAGTGCTTCAAGTTTTTCACTTGTTTCAACCGTTAATACACTTTGTACTTTTCTGTTACTAGTTTTTTCCTGTGTAAATTGTATGAATGGGCTTGACTTTGAAAGCATTGGTGATTTAACTTTCACGTTATTTTTAGTGAAAGCTCTGATAGAACAAGAGGTGAAGAACGGCATTCCTTCCAGCAGAATTGTTCTGGGAGGGTTTTCTCAGGTAAGGAGGAAGTTTGGGCAGTGTACCAGCACGTTGGGGTGTTTGTCCAGAGGTCTGGTCTCAGCCCTTTCTCTGTGGGGAAGTGCTTTTCCAGGAGGGTGTTACAGGCTCTGATATGCTGCTTACCTTTAACGCTGACTTTAGTTTGAATGGACTAGAAATAACGATTGATTAGAGAGTACTCTTTGTCGTACTCTTTTCTAGTTTTCTCTCTTCAGTGATAGCCTTCACTGTATAGATTGTCTTGAAAATCAGTTTATTAGGTAAATTGATTGGAACCTGGAATGCATTTTTTCTAAATAACCTTAGTACACCAGTAGTTAGATCACGAAGTTAACACTGTGGGCCACTTCAAACAAAACTGTTTAAACGCAGGTGTGAGTCCCCTGTCCCAGGAGACGGCTGGTGGGACAGTAGGTCGAAGACATGAGAATTTCTTCCCTCTTTTTGTCACAGTCAGATTCCCAGTAGTTGAGCCCCTGTAGCAGATTCCCCTGTAAGCCTGGAGGGGTGAGATCAGAGTAGGGGCTCCCACAGGGCGACCCAGTGCTGGGGGCTGGATGTCTAGCCCCGGGGAGACCTCTGCAGTGTGCTGCGCTGGCCCAGGTGGGGCCGTGCGGTCAGCGTGTGGCCGCTTCCTTCCCTCCCTGCATCTGTCCTGTCTCTGGGGTGCCTCAGCCTCGCCCCATATTCTTGGATTCCCTCAGTGGTGTCCTGTCCTTGAACGTGGACATCAGTTGTTTGTGTCACCACCTTGTGACTTTATCCTCTCCCCTCTTTTTGTCATGGAAAACAGGTTTTAGGTTAAAATACATGATGTATATTCTTAGCATCTTTCTTCTTTTCTTTCTATACTTTTTGTCCTACCTTCCATACTTTCTCTGCAGTTACCTCATATTGACTTCACATCTTAATTCACCATGTCACTCACCCCAAAAGTGCCCGAGCTTCTAATCTGTAGATCTTCTAAGTCAACAGTTTAGTGTCCAGACGACCTGAATTAGGGCAGCGTCCGAATTACGGAATTATTTGGAAGTTAGAATTCAATAGAAAGATAAGTTGTTGATATAATACAGTAAAAAGATTTGTTATTGGTTTGATACTTGTTGAAATTCATAGGTAATGTACATTGTACTACACATTGTGACATAAATGTGGGTGCAAAAGTGAGTGCTTGATTTAGACAGTCTGTGTACGAGATTCTTTGATTACAGTTTGCAGAAACCAACTCCTAATACCTTTATCAAGAAAGAGTAAGTAATGAGTCTGGGATCACATCGAGGAGGCCAGGGGTGAGAATAAAGCGGGCCCGGGAAAGAGCGCAGGCTTGGCAGAGCCACCGGGACTCTCCCCCTCCTCGCCCGGTGCTCTGCCCGCCTGCTCGGTCCGCCTCTCTGTCTGCAGTTGGCTTCCTGCTGCTGTCGCTTTTCCGTGTTACAGTTCCAGCCACACAGACAGAGACTGACAGTCACTGAATTTCACTTTTAAAATCCTGGGGGAAGGACTCTCCTCAATGAGAAAGAATCTCGCGTCCTCACGTGGCTCAGTGAGCCCTGGGCACGGTCAGGATGATGTACGTCCGCTGGACTGAACGTGGGCCCCGGATGCAGGGTGTGGTGCGCTAGTAGGTGCTGTTCCAGAGGTGTCTGCTGTGGCGTCCTTGTCATCTTCAATTCTTTCATTGAAGTATTTTATATTCTTTGTAATATATTTCTTGCCTCTATTTTTTTTGAAGTATAGTCGATTTACAACATTGTGTTAATTTCTGGTGTACAGCGTAGTGATTCAGTTATGTGCATATATATATTCCTTTTCATATTCTTTTTTTATTATAGGCTGTTACAAGATATCGAATGTAGTTCCCTCTACTTTACAGGAGAACCTTGTTTATCTCCTTTATATATAGCAGTGTGTATCTGCAGATCTTCAATTCTTTTTTGGAAAGTAATACCAGTTTAAGACTAGATTTGATTTTCTACGTAAGACTTTGCAAAGAAGGAAATCATAACTATAAACTCAGAATATTCCTAAGGCATTGTCAGGGCAGCAGCTAACTCTGCTGTTAACGGTGTCTGACTGGTTGGGCGGCGCTCAGTGTAGACAGTCAGGTCCTTGACACGGTGGGCTGTGCACGTAGTCCTGCTGTTTGCCTGATTTCTGATGTCAGCTACCCAGTTTGGTTTTGTGCGTACAGTATGGATAACAGGAATCACTCCCGTTGCCGTTGGAAAAGATGGTCTGCCTGACCCGTTCCTGTCTTTCCAGGGAGGAGCTTTGTCTCTGTACACCGCACTGACCACGCAGCAGAAGCTGGCAGGTGTCACGGCGCTCAGCTGCTGGCTCCCATTGCGGACTTCATTTCCACAGGTGCCGACGGGCGGGTGCGGGACCCAGCTAGGATGGGAGAGTGACGCTGAGGGCACGGTTGTCGATTTTTTAAATTAGTAAACTTAATTAGGGGGAGAAGCTTTTAGATTTATTTATCATTACTAGTTTTTTAATGGCGGTACTGGGGATTGAACCCAGGACCTGGTGCATGCTAGGCATGCTCTCCACCACTGAGCTCCACCCTCCCCCTAAAATTAATTTTTTTGGGCAGTTTTAAGTTCACCACAAAATTGAGCAGAAAGTGTCCATATGCCCACTGTCCCCGTCCACACACAGCCTCTGCATGGAGCTCCCCCAGCACGGGGTCTATTCCCACACTGACACATCATTGTCACCCACAGCCTGTGGTTGAAATCTGTCACCCTTTTCAAAAAGAGTTTTCGTAGACTCTGGTGATGTGCCACTTGGCTTCATCTGTGCGCTACAGTGTCTTCACTGCAGACCACACAGAGGGGAATAAGTCCTTCAAAGAGGAAAAAGGAAAGAAGTCCTGATTGTCATAAGTTCTATATTTGAAGTGTTTGCTACATTTTAAGATATGTATCAAAATTAGGGCTGTTTTTATATGTAGAAATAATATTTCTGAGCGCTCAGGGCTCGACAGTGGGATTTTGCCATAGAATGTAATTCCTACATACCCAGCAGAGGAAAGCAGTTTGTGGGACACATCTATACATGGGGGTATGGACATGATTTTATTTTCAAATTCATCTTTAAATCTTGTTTTTTCCCTGGCACTGTAGAGGAACTTTTTGGTGTGCTGCACATAGTGAGTGCTGGTTACTAACCATCAAAATCAAAACCATTTGATTTAAATAATTAAATCAAATAAGAGTTGAGAAGAGCGTGGCTCAGCTAAAACACACCTCGTGTCAGGACACTGAGCATATAATTAGGTTATACTCCACGTCAGGAGCCAGTTCATTAGGAAGACGTGTCACACGGGACCGGATACAGACGGGGTACGGACGTCCTGTAAAAGTTTAAAAAGAGATGGGTGTGCAGGGATGGAAGGAGCCAGATGTGACCTGTCCTGGGGTAGGATGTCTGTCCACAGTTCACACACGCAGCATAGCGCTCCACCCACTGGAGTAAATAACTCGGGTTTGTTCTGGTTTTCACAGGGTCCTATCAGCGGCGTGAATAGAGACATTTCCATCCTTCAGTGCCATGGAACCTTGGATCATTTAGTCCCCCTAATGTTTGGTTCTCTTACTGCCGAAAGGCTAAAAACCTTGGTAAATCCAGCCAACGTCACCTTCAGAACCTACGAAGGCATGATGCACAGTTCATGTCAACAGGTAAACGTTTGGAAGCAGGAACCGTAGGGACAGATTTACAATGTCTGCATGTGATGTTTTTAAGATGGTAACATTTGACTGCTTGGGGGTCAAAGACGTTAATGAATTCACATTGAACCATAGGTTAGTAGGACTTAGATCAGTTTATTCAGTTTAATTCGATGAACCTTCACTGATCTACTAATACCAGCAGAGTGCATAATTCAAGGACAAATTAAAAACATCCCTGTATTAAAAATCTAAAGTAGGTTAATTAAAATAAGGAATTTTAGTAGAGGGAGAAGGATGTTTACCCAAGTAACTATATAGAAAGTGGAATGTTCTGTGTGCTACGTTGGGAGGTTTTTAAAAAGTCCTTGAAGAAGTATGAAGGGTGAGATTGATTTTATCTCAGGAAGCACTAAGGTCAAGAGGATAGAGCCAGATTTTGAAGGATGGGCAGGCTCTGGAGAGTAGGTGTGCAGAGCTTGGGCTGCGGGACAGGAGGGCCTGTCCAGGGGCCACAGGACGGAGTCAGGAGAGCCCCCCCCCCAACCTGGGAGGGACATGTGCTGTGCTGAGCTCCTGTGTGCCCTCAGCAGAACAAGCTGCGACCTGGCCTACATTCTGGAGACAGAGGAGGAGAGCCCAGTAGGGTTCGGTGACTAATTCTGTGGGACAGAAGGGGGCGAACCATGGAGGCCTTAGATTTCAGCTCTGATGACCGAGAGGATCATGAAGCATGTACAGGACAGCTTAGGGTAACAGGAAGGAGATGAGCTGAGTCTGGTGAACAGACTGAGACTCACGGGGCCCGTGGCATCAGAACGGGGTGTTGGAGACGCTTGTCCGACGGTCAGGCCTGTGGTAGACACTGAGGGGTTGATCAGCGAGGGATTTCTGTGGGAGGGTGCCCTGAGGAAGGCGAGGGCCAGAGCTCTGGGGGTTAAAGGGGCCAGGTGTGAACAGGAGACAGGCGGGGAGAACTCGGGGTGCAGGAGCGTGTCCCCTGATTCGGACAACCACCCTGCCCAGTGAGGAGGAGCCACACGGAGGGGCCGGGTGGAGAGGATGGGGCCGACCTTGCGAAGACGGGTTTGGTGAAGGGGAAGGAGTGGGAAGGCTGTTTCGCAGTGTGACGGGAGGAGACCCTGGAGGTGCGGGGGAGGGAGGGAGGAGGCGATGGGTGGGGGGCTGTTCGGGGACCCTGCCCTGTAAGTAAGCTCTGAAATGGGTGGCGCTTGCCTTGGAGTTACGGAGAGGACACTTGGGGCCCCGGGGAGACGAGGCCGGTGTCCATGCCAGAGGCGCGCCGGCAGCCCGTATTAGGGCCTCTTTCCCTTTTTGGTAAAGGAGGAGACATGCTCGCTTGTTCAGAATGAAGCACGTCAGGGTAGGTTTGGGGCTTGAAAAGGTCCGGGATAAGAAGCGTTGAGACAGCTCACGTTAACGTTCTGTGCAGCTCTGGGCCCGGCTAAGCCACTTGCTTTAGGGGCAGAGAAGACCCCTAGTGATATGACTGACCCGGGGAGACCAGGGGTCCCTGGGTTCTAGGTTGTTACTGGAAACATCTTTGGAACCCAATGAACTCTGAATTCTGGAAGGGCGGCGGGGCCCTCTGAGCGGGGGCAGGGGCCGCGGGTCGGAGCATTGGTTTTCAGAGCTGGCCTCGCCCCACCAGGACCCCACCACTTAGGAAACACCCAGACAGCAGAGCTGCAGGGCCAGCGAGGCATTGGTGCTGTGTGCACGTGTTCCTACAGTGAAAGCTCTGTTCCTGGCTCCCTGTGCACCTGCACTGGGGGCCGCTGGGCGGCGTGGTTAGGAGCAGAAGGGGAGGGGAGGTGGTGCCGGCAGGCTCTCAGGACCGCAGGGTGAGTAACAGAGGCCACCGTCACGCTGGCCGTTCTTTCCTGAGTAAAGGAGAAGGTTGAAGGTTCTCTGCGTTGCTGATGTGTACATCTGTGAGGCTGAACTGGGAGACACTGCGGGAAGTGTGGAGACTGGGAGTGTCTGGGAGAGTTTGCTCCATGCTGGGTGTTCGGTGCGTTCACCTCCACGTCTCTCCAGGCCTGCCTTAGGCTGGTTGTATGTAAATCCTTCTGAAAGGCACACAGTATTTGCTGGTTTGGCATTTCGTTCCAATGAGGGGATGTTAGAGACGTGGATGCTTAGTTGCCCGTGACTGTGCGCTTTCTGAGTCTTCTCCGTGTGGTTGTCTTCCTTCCGCCCCCAGTGTTTTCTTTTGTTCAAGTGGAGCAAAACGCAGACCATTTTCTCAGGACAAGATCGTACATGAGAGCTGGCATTTGAATGTGCGATAAAAGAATTGCAGGAAACGTTTTCAGATTTCTTTGGGGGCCTCCTTTCTCTTTTACACTTTTTATTTAATTGTAGTTGTAAAAAGGTGACTCCATCTTGCCTGTGCACACCATGGATTTAGGTAGTGGTACTTTAGTGGGGATTTAATTTCTGATTTGTGTAACTGCTTATTAAGTCCCTTTATTCCAACAGGAAATGATGGATGTCAAGCAATTCATTGATAAACTCCTACCTCCCGTTGACTGAGTCACGAAGAGGCCTTGTGTGGGAGTCACACCAGCATCCTCGTGGTAGAGAGAAAACCTTGTCCTGCGCCTGCTCTCGAAACCTCTGATGTGTGCAGTGTTAAAATGTTTTGCAAATATGCACCAATGACACAGACTAAATAAACCTCCTCTTAGGAAATTTATGATCATTTAGATTTCTGTATATGTATTTGTATAATATGATCCAGATTCTACTAGTATTAAAATAGAGGAAGCAGCTAGCTTCTTTTTCCCAAATGTAATTCAGAAAAATAATAAAATACTACAAACAGATTTTTTATTACATCATTTGAAAATTATTAGTATGCTTAATGAAAACTTGTTCAGGTATAAATGAGTGGCTAAGATGTAACTGGTTTATGCATGCTGTGACTTAGTCCACGGACTTACTCCAGGATGACTTTGTCACCATGCAGTGTGTGTATTTTTGTATTTACGTGTGTCACGTGCACTTAATGATTTTAAGGCTTCATAAGAATGAGGTGTTATACATTACTCCTAATAGTAGGGTTAATGCTTCTAAGTGTCAATAAAGAGTAATATTGCTCTCTTCAATTAGTGGCCCTTTATTTTGGGGACCAGGTTTTTCTTTCCTGAATGTAATTTCTATTTAAAATTATTTTTGCCTCTCTAGAAAAGAAATGTATTCTTTCTTGTTCATCCTTCGTAACAGACCAGATACCACCTCCTTGCCATAGACATCCACTATCAGTACCTGCTGTGACTTGACACTGAATCGCAGACAGGATGGTATTTAAAACGTACTTGTGCTGACACGAAGAAACCAGACACCCCTTCAAACGTCCTACGCTACTTACTTCTCAAACTGTACCTTTGTCTGAAGTTTAGACCGACATAGTTCCTAGAATCTATAGTCCTGGTAACGAAAATAATTCTGTGTTTGTATTTTTCTGTAATTGACTGAAAATAATTAGGTCACATTCTAGAATGTTCACGAATATTTAAGACTGATCTTAAAAAACTAATTTTTAAGACAATTTGCTCTAAGGTGACTCTCTTTGTAGCGTAGTTTTAGTTTACTGATTTTGTACATCTGTTTGAAACCAGCTGCTGTGGGAAAGGAGCAATCCATTAGAAAATTCTGCTTTACTTTTATCTGCCAGTGGACTTCTTTGAAATTTTTACTTTAGTCAGGTGATTTTTTTTTTCAAAAATTACTTTTTGTGCAAACATAAAAGTAGTGATTATTTGATTTTAAATCATCAAAAATTTCAGATTATTGGTGGAAATTATTTGGAAACAAATTTATGGGTAATAAAAGTCAGTCAGAACTCAATGCATATGGAATAGTTACCATACAGATTAATATGCAGCAAAAATGTACACTTGATATTTCTGAACTGTTGTCAGTTTTTCTGCCATATTCCAACTGACTAAAACAACGTTAGGAATGTATCTTTATAAATGGGTGCTACTTGATAGTGGAAATAATTTGGTAATGGACTATAGAGAATGTTAATGAAGCCATATGTTTATGTCTGGATTTAAAATTTTTAAACAATCATTTACTAAGTCATTTTGCTCTACCTTGAAGAATATAAGCTGTTGTTTCACTTACACAAATCAGCAAGATCTAACTTATGGCAAGAAATACTCCGTTGAAATATTGTGCTGTAACGTGGGAAAATGAAAATCTTTTTCACGGTTTCTATCAATGTGAAATAAAACTCAATTCTCACTTTTCTCTGACTGGCTTTTTCGAAGTTTTTTTTAACTTTTGGGTTTGCCTTGGAATGGCTGCCTGTAATGAGAAGGAGGGAAATGACAGTATGCCCCCAGGAATATACCCTCAGGGAGAGAAATCCTGGTGCCGGTGTGGTCAGCCTGGAGTGGAACCAGGCAGGAAGAAGGCTTCTCCTGTTCCTCAGTGCTAACAAGCTAAAAAAAAGTCCTGAACTGGCTTTTCAGTGTTCCTAACCCGTTTAAGTTTTGTTTGGTGTTTCCTTTTGTCTTTTCCTTTTATGTCGTATTCATGGGATTTTTAAGTTGGTGTCATAAATCGGTTCTCCAAAGAGTTTTTCTCCTTTTATTTTGCTACTGACGCCTAACTTTTCCCAGTAAAGGAATCCTGTCCTGTCTCTGAAGTGTCAGCTGTAAAAAAGAATGAAGATGCTCTATGTCAATCTAGGGAGGTAAAAGATTTGCACACTAAAAACTATAAAATGTTGTGGGAAGAAATTAAAGTAGACATAACTAAATGGAAAGACATTCCAATTTTATGAATTAGAAGGGTTAATTTCATCAAACTGGCCGTGATAAACTTTTAAGACCTTGGATTTGGCAGTGGTTTCTTAGATATGACACAAACAACAAAAGAAAACAGATATGTTGGACTTTGATAAAAATTAAATAGGTTTGTGCATTAACAATCACTATCAGGAGAAAAAACCCAGAGTGGGAAGCAATATTTTCAAATATTATCTGATAAGAGTTTAGTGTCCTGGACATATGAAGAGCTCTTAAATCTCAACAACAAAGACAGTCTGGTTGAAAATTGGGTGTAGGATTAGTCACGACATGTCTCCAGATGCACAAATGGCCAACAAGCATATTAAAATATGCTCAACACAGGTATTAGGGAAATGCAAATTAAAACCACAAAGAGATGCCATTTCACATCCACAAGGAGAGTTAGCATAAAAGTATGGGTAGAAACAAGCATTGACAAGGATGTGGAGCAATTGGAACCCTAGTATATTTCTGGTGGGAATGTAAAATGGTGCAGCTGCTCCAGGAAAACAGATTCCTCAAAATTAAATACTTACCATATGACCTAGCAACCCACTCCTGGGTACATACTGAAAAGAACTGAAAATAGGTGTTTCCACAAAACTTTGTACATAAATATTCACAGCAGTACTATTCACACGAGTGAAAATGTGGAACAGAGAAAGCTAAGTAGAAACAACCCGAGCAACCCTCCCTTGATGAATGAATAAACGAAATGCGGTGCGTCCCTCCAATGCAAGTATTAACCAACCGTAAAGCGAAATGAAAGACTGACAGCTGCCACAGCATGAACTTTGCAAACGTCATGTTAAGTGAAAGGAGCCAGTCCAAAGGTCACATATTGTATGATTATATGAACGATCAGAACATTTGAGACCATGGAGACAGAAAGCCAATTATTGGTTGGCAAGGCTTGTGGGGCTGGGGGAGTCACAAGCGACTCATTAAAGAGAACAGGGTTTTTCTTTCTGAGATGGTGGAAATTTTTCAAGATCTTTTTTGAAACTAGATAGTGGTGATGGTTGCACAGCATTGTGATTGTACTAAATGCTACCAAAGTGCACATTTTAAACTAGTTAAAATCGTAAATTTCATGTTAAAGTTAATTTGTATAGGGGGTCCCACAAGTGGTGTGGCCCGCTTCACAAATCTAAACCTGAGTCAGCCTGCACTTAGGGGAAATACCTGCCAAGAGAACCTAACGCCACCATCATAATCCTCCAATCCAGCTTTGGTGAGCCCACCTCACCCTAGAAATGAGACCCACCAACCTTGTAAGGAAACCCCCACCTCCTTAGCCAATCATGCCCTGCTTCAGGGTTGCCTGTTCTAAGCTCTATAAACCTCACTCTTGCCTTTCAATCCCCGGGAAAGAGCACCCACTGTTTGTGAGGCCCTGTACCCCCACCCATGGAGTGTCTTCCCTTGGATCAAGGACATCACACTCATCACCAGGTTGTTTTAGTTTTGTCCTTTGACAATGTTATGTGTATCTTACCGCTGTGAAAGAATAACAAACTGAATCTTCGGGAAAAAAACAAAAGTGACAATTACTAGAGTAAATGTACAAATCCACAATCATACATGGAGACTTGTACATACTCATGAATTGATGCATCAAGCAGACAACAAACTGGGATATAATTATTTGAACAAAAAAATTAATTTTGGGCTAACAGGTCTTTACAGAACTTCAGATTTGCCATTATAGAATACACGCTTTTCCAGGACACATCATATTTATAAAAATTGACAAAACAAATCTCAATGAACACCTTAGAACGAGTAACTTGTCATATATTCTCACTACAATTTGAGAGTCAATAATAAAAAGATAATTTAAAAGTGAAACAAAATAAGTGAAATAAAAAGATACGGTTCAAATTACTCTTTCCCCCGAATAACTAAACTAGAACAAAATCTGACATCTTAGTATAGAAAAACTATGAGGTGGTGAGTTTGGATTAATGATGGTTAACCTGGGTGTGGGATATGCTTGCAAGTAACTGGGCAAAGACCTGAAGGAGCCCGTACTCTTGACAACACAGCTGTTTTAATGTTCTGCCTCGACTTAAGGTTGTCACCTTCCTCACTGATCTTCAGAGCAGGTGAGATGCCTCATTAAATTTCTTTGATGAGAACGTTTCTGTCAACTACTGTTCAACTGTATTCAAAGCGCATCCTGCATTCCGAGTCAGGAAACAAGACGGGGTCTCCATCCTTAAGGAGCTCACAGATGACTTGACTTTAAACAAGGAGACGCCCACAACGATCCAATCTACGGTCATGGGTCTGCAGGGACGGGGTTCTGTACTTCAATCCGCCGTCACGGCCGGTCCGACCGACTGTAAACCCGCCCACGTCCCATCCTCGGAACCGCCTGGGCTCAGGCTCGGCGCTGCGAGGGTCTCCGCGGGCGCTACGGCCTGGGGGACCGGGAACCGCGGGGCGGGGCGGGGCGGGCGAGGGCGGGGCCTGAGGGAACGAGCGCCGTGCTCGGCCCCGCCTCCCGCCCACTTTTACGACAGCCGGGAAGTCCTGCCGCCCGGCGGGCTGGTCGCCCAGCTGGCGGCGTCTCAGGAATCC